CTGAACTGGCTGATGATGATTTACTTTGGCTTAAAGCTAAAGCGTTTTAAGATTTGGCTCTACCCAATAATGTTCATCCTTAACCCCTTTTTCAATTGGTACTATATGGTCTACGGCATATTTACTGCTGGCCAGAGAACTTGGGGCGGACCCCGTGCGGACGCTGCTACTGCAGATGCGAATACGACGGTGCAGCAAGCTGTCGAGCAGGCTGAGCAGACAGGAGACGATCTCAACGTCGTTCCGGAGACCTTCATCCTAGCAGCCGAGGTGCAAAGACAAAGAAGCAAAGGTAAAGAGACTAGTACCGTTCAAAGATCCAAAAGCAACGTGCTACCTCCGGAGAAGATCGAGGGTAAATTTGCGGCCCCCGAGAAAAAGGCAAACGGATTCTACGCATACCCTGAAGAGTCGACGTTCAGCTTCAATACCCCAGAGGGCTCCGGTTCACGTTATGTTCTTCGCGATCGTGATTCGGTAGAGAGTTTCTTAACTACTGGAAACAACTCGATCTATTTGCCCCGGCGGGTGGAAAGTATTATGGGAGATGAGGACCGGAAGAAGTACCAAATGGCACAAGCCAGCCAGTATAACCAGTTTGTCGAAAAGTCAAAGAAGTTCGCTATACCTCCGCCAGGTCAAGTATACGAATTCTCCGATGTTGAACTTGAAAAAAGAGGCTGGGACGTTAAGGTACCGGAAGGCGGCCAACCCGAACGCTATAAAGACGACTGCAACGACAGCAGCCCCGAATCCTCTTCATCTCGCGCACCTTCTCCCGGTCCCTTGTCGTCCCTACTCGCCGGTCAAGATTCGTCACGAACTCCAGCTCAGGATCTCGGTGTACCCGGGGGGCATCATCAACGGCGTAATAGGAATGGGGGGAGTCCTCTCGGGCGAGATATCTCAACACACACGCCCGCGGCCAATGCCGATGAGGATGAGGAAGAGAGACCTAGTTCGGGGCGCAAGAAGTCGCGTAGACCGAATGGACATAAATAGGGGATAATCTCAATATAATAAATTATCACATTTAGAAATAGGCCTCGGCGGGCGGGTTGCATTATGGTGGCAGTTTTGGAACTTACATGATAGAAGGCGTTTAACCAAGAGACAGTAAATAATTTACAGCGCTGTGCAATAAGGTAGGCTACATGCGTGTTTTTGGGAACATGTAGTATTGTTCTCGTCTATTGCTATAAGGTGAGATGATATGTTACGTAGGTAGTTGTCAAAATAAATAAAGTTGTACTAAACTTGGACTTCAGTATCTTGGTATGCCAATGTGACTGTTCATTACCTATAGCAAGAAGGGGGAAGTAATGAATGGCATAGTTAATATAGAAACTATAACTTACATCACGAGTCTATAAGTGCATGGCAGCTGCGTCATTGCCGATTCCTTGAATTAGCACATGTTTCGCATGTACTTCGTAGGGGTGGACGTAAAAAGCTCACGTGTCAGAGAACACCTAGTACGGTAGTTAGCGTGACTGCCGCCAGCTGACAATCGGTACTATGCCCCTGACAAAGCCAGCAAATGGTAATCCGTAAACCGATTAAGTTAGGCAGTTGATTACGCCAAACTCGAATGTGCCTTCGTAAGTTGAATGTCGAATCTGCAACACTTTGAAACTTCTCTTAAGTCTATTATTGATTTTCTGGCACCCGAACCTCGAGCGAATAACCTAACCGACACCTTTTTTTATACTGTTTTTACGTCCTTCAACCGCCAATATGGACAATTTTAAGGCTTTTGGTAGCAGCTTGAGGTACGATACACAGCTACACATATACACACCCGATATCACATATAATACCGTCGTGAAGGTATCTGCATTATGCTGGCTATAGGTAGATGCTGATATCATGCTAGCTCTATTGGCTCTCAGATTACCCCCTTCGCCACCCGTACTTTTCAGTACACCAAGGAGCAGCTTGGCCAGGCCGAGGATAAGGTACGTTTTTAATGCTCAGGTGGGGGTGTTGACGATTGTGGTTAACAATGCCTTTCACTATAGACCCAACTCCCTCCCGATTATATCGACCTCGAAAAGCGAGTGGATGCCCTAAAGCAAGTCCATCAGAAGATGCTTGCAGTGACGTACGTACACATCTTGTAATGCGCTAAATACTTGCAGCTAACGTACTTGGATTTACCATAGCTCGCAATACTCACACGAACCTTACGACTACCCTAACAATCTCAAGGAGAGCTTTTCGGATCTTGGCCGTACCGTCAGCGAGAAGGTCCAGCTCCTCTCCGCTGCTACCACCCCCGCCGAAGCTCAGGCCGCCTTGACCGCACCCCCCACCGCAAAGCCCCAGCCCAAGACCTTCTCCCACGCCATCGCCCGAGCCAGCTTAGCAAGTTCCCAGATCCTACACCAGCAACACACCGGCGCCGGCGAGGACCCTCTCGCGACCGCGCTCGAGAAGTATGCGCTGGTTAGCGAGCGACTGGGCGAGGCCCGCCTTGCGCAGGACGCACAGATCCAGAGCCATTACCTGGCTGGCTGGAACACTACTCTGAACACCAACCTGATGTTCGCAACACGTGCGCGCAAGAACGTCGAGAAGGCGCGCTTGACCCTTGACTCGGTCAAGGCCCGTGTTAAGGGCAATACCTGGAAGATCGGACAGCAGCCGCGCGAAGATCACCACGCCGAGGAGCTGAGCGCCGAGGCCCAGGAGGAGATTGAGAAGGCCGAGGACGAATTCGTCACTCAGACCGAAGAAGCTGTGAGCGTCATGAAGAACGTAAGTTATATTTGAGTTGTGGCTTTTGTGGTTTCTTGGCTAATTTGAATTCGCAGGTTCTGGATACTCCTGAGCCTCTTCGCAACCTTGCTGAGCTCGTCGCTGCCCAGCTCGAGTACCACAAGAAGGCCGCCGAGATCTTGAGCGAGCTTTCTCCTGTCATTGAGGGTCTCCAGGTTGAGCAGGAGGTTAGTTAATGGCGTCATTTTTGAACCATTACCTACGTTAGAGCTAACATGCCATTGCAGGCTAACTACCGCAAGAGCCGCGAGAGCGCTTCGTAGATGATTGATACCCGCAAACCTCATAAATACGACGGAACATGTCCGTCGTAGGAGTTTGCAAAACCGGACGGGACCGGGCTACTCTAGAAGCCTACAAGGACGGTGGCAGATCTGTCAGGATTCTATTTCTTTTTCCTTTTTTTGCTGCTTGATCTGACATGTTGCGTGTTTGAGCAAGTGTGATATAGACGAGAGTGAAGCAATCAAAGGAATTTCGCTAGCGGAATTCCTTGATGCTTTGTTTTCTGCTTCCGTTTGGGAGACGCTTAATTGAGACGATTTTTGCAAATATGAAGGTCGTACGTATGATACTCGTGATACTTGTGGCCTAGTAGGGTGACGATGTGAGACTACACTGGCTCCCTATTTTATTGATGGAATCGCGGTGGATAGATTATTGTTCTCGTGTTGGGACCTAGGTAGGCCTAGGTAGGTAAACTAGCAGTTCAGATCACATGCACCATATGCGACACAATATTCGATCAGGTGGAATCCTCTACGAGATATACCCGAACTTGGTGTTGCTGGTATGATAATAAGTTATCATATGAGTGGCTTATTCTACTCAGATACATAGGTAAGTAGGTAGGTATGTTATAAAACCTACACGATTGGCGAAATAAAAACGATGGCACAATAACATGCAGAACTTAAATGGTGACTATTCGACTTTAATGAGTCTAGGATAACAGGTAAGGTCTAGTCACGATATACGGGTGTAGTTCTGGTAGCAAGCCTTGCTGTCAATAGTACGCGTAAACAGCGCGCCGAAAGCAGTGCTCCAAAATCAAACATCAAGACTTAACCAGCATTCCAGCCATCAATGGAGCAGAGATAAAATCAGACCAGTTCTATGGAACTGCATTGCGAAAATCCAACCCGACTACGCGAGCTCCAGTCTACAAGGTCATCTTCCTCATGGCAGTGCACAAGGCACCGCTCACAATGAAAACAAATTTCTTTTCGCAAAGAGAAGAGAACAAAAATTGCGCCCGCTACGATCCACGAGGGATAATAGAAGAGGGTCGACTCCGCGCTGTGCAATGCAGGTCTTCCCCCTTAAGGGCCCTCATGCTTGAGCGAGGGTCCTTCGAACAAGGTAAGTATGAAGAAGAAAAAGGGAAAAGAAAATCCTAAGAGCGGGAGGGGAGACGTTTCTTTTGTACTGGGAATTTGGGCGGTGAGGGTGGTTGGGGCGGCAGAATATTAGTGGGGTGGGTACCTAGGAAGGAGGTAGGTGCGTATTGCTGCAAGAGCAATGGGAAAGTCCTGGCAGAACAGCCCAAACCATGGCGGAAGTTGAGCCCAAAGGCTAACCGGATTGGGTAGGAGGGATGTTGGTCCCAAACCGATGTGCTTTGGGCTCAACTTCTACTTCATCACTGCTATATTCACCAATGTAAATGAATATATTTCTACATATTACCTTGCAGCTAAATTGCATGATTGGAAAAGTATAATCAGTTGTTAAGTACTTAACTAATTAATTAATTGCGAAGTGAAATGGAAAAGTAAAGCGAAGAAAGAAAAGGCAAGTTAACCTGGTAATTGATCAAGAATTCGTATGAGGTGCGTCGCAAGGTAAGGGATTTAAAGACTGTGGTGCGCTATAATTATAGGGGATTTGGTGCATGCAGCGCTTTATTCTAAGGATTTAAAGCATTGAAGTTCAGGCCAAAGTGAAAGATTGCTTTGGGCCAACTAAGTGACGGTCCAAATATTGCCGAATCTGGTTAGCCTTTGGGGTCAACTTCAGATGTCCTTTGGTCCCAAAGCCATCACTTGCTTTGGGGTCAGGTAACAGGCCCGTAAATTGCCTGTTTTATCCAATGTGCTTTGGGGCCAAAGCAAGAGCATAGCAGGTTGGATAAGGGCATATCGGGTACTTAATAATTCGATAAATCTCATTGGACAATATCATGTGACCTTAAGCTCTGACGTTTTCGAGCTGTAAACCTCTCACAAGAATACCGAGGTGCTTTACACCAGAAAATCGAATTCCACTAATTCCACTAATTGGGCTGAACTTCCCTTTCCAATTCCTACCCCATTTCGTCGAAGCAGCTAACGACAACTGCGCACGATGCGGCGGACACTCCGACTCTTCGCGGCCGTCAAGCCCGCGCGGTACCTCGAGGCCGGCGCCCCGACGGGCCTCACGGGCCTCTTCACCCACAGCTCGCCGCGCTCCACCCTGCTATACCTATACACGCGCACGCTCGAGAAGCTCCAAGACGTCCCGGAGTCTTCGCTCTACCGCCAGTCCGTCGAAGCCCTAACCAAGCACCGACTCGCCATCGTCGAAGCCGCCGAGCCCCCGGGCCACGCCGAGTGGGCGGCGCGCGCGCGCAAGATCGCCGAGGCGAACCCGTCCCGCTTCGGCGTGGCGACGGCCGGTGCCAATCAATCTGCCGAGGGGTCCTTTGCGCTGCAGGTCACATCGGGCGGCAAGCTGTTTGTGCACCGCTCGGAGCCGGCGCCTAGCGATGACCGGTACGAGGAGTGGAATGGGGAGAGGGACGAGGGGCCTGGGTCGGAGGGGCTGAAGGGGGCGGAGGAGCGCGGGGAGCACGAGATGCTGTTTACGCGCGAGCCGACGGATAGCCCGGGTGCTAAGGTTCAGTGGGAGCCGGAGCCGCAGTTGACTGCTGATCAGTGAGTTGCCGTGTTCTACCTACCTACCTACTCTCGTATCTTCGTCTGCGTCGATTTTATATATATATACAGATGAGGCGAGGTGAGGCAGTGCTGACGATAGGGAAATAGGATCGAGGAAATCGAGAGCAAGATCGGAGGCGGCCTGATCGAGGAGGTGTTGCGGGTGGCCGAGAACGAGTTAAAACTTGTGGATATCATGCAAGAAAACAAGGTGTAGGTTTACTCTCTTCCCCTTTCTCTAATTTAATCTAAAGAGAACACGGTATGGCTAATGAAGAGAGCAGATGGGAGGAACTCGAGGAGAAGCCTGCTGAGGGCCAGTGGACCTACTTTGAGCGCGACTCGCAATAGATGGATTCGCATCGCCGAGTTTCTAAGTCCGGTTTAGAAGTTCCGTAAATTGCTTCCGTGCGGTATATCACGGGGCAGGTGTACAGTAGATAAAAGCATGTACATACGGAAGATGGTTCACGTTATTGGACGCTTTTAATGCTACCACCGCATGGATTAGAAATGAAATGTCGTGTCCATCGTCTAAACGTAGGAAAAGATAGTGACTCTCTAGTCTTGGGGAAGCTGTCTTGCTGCGTTTACTTTTGGTTGAGTTTTCTCTTGTCGAGTCTAGCTTAACGAAGAACCCATGTACGTCATGATTCGTTAGGAATGGTAAGACTTTGAATTATTTGAGCTTCGTATGATGAATATCCCGTGGATTTGAGCTAGTAGCCATTCCAGAGCAGATATCTCCGTGATTCAAATATGAGCCTACCATGATATACCTTATAATTTCCTCTAAGGAATAGCTATAAGACCATAATAAGTTAAGTTTGAACACGGCCGGTTTGGGTTTAATTGCCCCAGCAATGTATTAATCAGATACGAAAAGGCAACTCCAAGTTGTACGCACTGATCAAGACTTGGAATAGAATTACGGTCAAAATCATGACATGCCTTCAGAAAGGAAAGGGGGGAGAGTGTGTAAATAAGTAGCCACCACCTAAGCCAGGATTTCCTTAAGACCCATAGCATAACATCGAACTAGCAATTTAAAATATTATTATTAAAAAGGAGATAGTGAAAGGCGACGGCGATGGTGATGATTGGGAATAACAAGCGCTAATGCAAGGGCGGCTCGGCCCGCGAACGCTCTGATAGCGCAGAAGCTCAAAAATATTGGAGTTGACTTTGAGGAACACAACGTTAACAATCTTTTCCAGGACAACCAAAAGTTTGTTAATTTAAGACACTTTACTATTTAATACATGTAGGTAACTACTAAGAAAGAGTATACATAATACTGAAAAAAAAAAACTACCATGGGACCTTTCGCTCTCCCGGTGCCAGGCTATCGCCTCAGTGCACACCACCGCATAAACAAACCTAAGAAAACAGACGATGGGCAAGAAAATGAGGAGGAAGTCTGGGTCGAATCCGAATGGAGCACGCCCTCCTCACGTCTCCCCTCAGACTCCATCAACCCCCTAAGCCACACGCCAGATACCCTTCGGCAATTCGCCGTTGCTGGACTGTCGCCCACAGAGGAGATACCGTCGAAGGCAAACCCCTTGTTCCCGCACAAGCCACTCCAGCCAGAAGGCAAGAGACGCAGGAAGCGCGATGTCAGCAGAGACGATGAAAATGCTACGGAGAAGCGGGATAAGGGTGTTACGTCAAAGCAGCACTCGGAGCGCCTAAAGCATCTAAGCACCTTAACAGCGATCCTGCACCGCTGTCTCGGCGAGGGCGACATCCCACGTGCGAAGCGTGCCTTCGGTTTGCTAGTACAGACCAAGGACGTAGATATCCGACAGGCCGGGCTATGGGCCATAGGCTCCGAGATCCTCATGCGGGACGGCGAGTCAGAAGAAGACCAGCTCAGACATAAACAGGGACGGGACAATGAACTACGTCGCTGGGGCTCCGCCGCCAACGTCGACAAAGTGAAATCTTACTTCGAGACCCTGATCCAGCAACATCCGCACGACCCGCACCGGCCACAACTTACCAGCGCGCTGGACTTCTGGCCCGCGCTCTTCGGCATCGAGGTGTACAATATCGATGCCGAGATGCGGGCTGCGATGCATCATCTGCAACAGCAACAGGATAAAGATCAAGGCCAAGATCAAGATCAAGAAGAAGAGGCGGGGTACGGGTTTGACGTGGACATGGCATATTCAGACGAGACGTTCGAATCGCACAGGGAGCTCCAAGACCAAAGACGACGCGAAGCTATCTACACAGCCCGCGACGAAATACGCACACGCGCGCTAATCGCCGCAGAGGCAGTCGCCAAGCAAATGGACCAAGTGATGGAAAACGCACCGTACGGCGCGCACCGCGGATTATTACGGCTGCGAGCGCATCTAGCGCTGTTCGTGGGGGATTTGTGTCTTCCGGCGCGACTTATGGATGACGACGGCTACGTGTCTAAAGAAGAGAAGAAGAAGAAGAAGCGGATGAAGAAAGGTAAGGGTAAGAATAGCGAGGATGGGCTACGAGCGCGTGCCGAGACGGCGGAAGATCATGCTGCGCTGGTTAGGAGGAGGGATGAGCAGGGTAGGGCGAGGATGTTGTTTCGGAAGGTGTTGGATGGTGGGGGGGAGAGGGAGTTGGAGGGGGAAGGGGGGGCGGATAGTTGGGTATGGAAGTTTGTGGATGAGGGTGAGGATGAGGATGATGATGATGATGATGATGATGATGATGATGGGAGGGGTGATGAGTGGTAGTTAGTTGTATGGTTGTTATTGTCTCTTACAAGGCTCAAGAGTAGATACCCCGAGTAATATAAACCACAAACACTACCTACAGAGGTTTCACGGCATGTCTACCTTCATCTTGTATCAAGATTAGTGCCGAGTAAGCAAGTCATAAGACTAGATGGGATCATCAACGGCCATCAAATCCACGGAGAAAGGGGGTCCTCCTAGGAACATTCCCCAGGCAAAAAATAGATATGTAAGGAGAAGATGGGCAGAAGACATGCAACAACTAAGAGCATGGACCGACGAGTTAAAGGGAACCTAAGGGAGCTGGAGTGTCGGATACGCAGCTATAAACGAGAAGCATCAGATACTTAGATCATTATTCCTATATCACCCTACCTTAATTCATCCCGCCAAACTCCCTCCAAGATCTCGGTGTAGGTAAATAGTCCCAAAAAAGCCACTACACATGGCTTATCATAGCATAGCTCGTAATAAATGGCAATAACGACGCCACGATTCATTTCGATCATACAACGAGACGAGACCTAGAGTACAAGGAAGCAGCCGCGGTATTCGAAGAGGGAAAAAAAGAATAGATACAGAATCGTTATAAAATACCGCGCGCCAACCCATGCAAATCCACATCATAATCGACTTCCTGTCTGACCAACCGACCTATCCCATCTCTACTACACGCACCGTGCCTAGCTGATGAAACAAAGGCATCCTAGCCCGACATAGAACACGAATAGGGGGTAAACAGCGATTCCGACGCGGTTCTTAACGACGCCGCTCCCGCCCAGGATACTAATGCCCGCGGCCATCGACCAGGCCACCAAGACGAGGTAGACGGGGATTCGAGGGATCATGGGCAGACCTAGGGCCGACATGAGGGAGGCGAGGACCAGCGGGAACAGGGTGTATCCGATGATGCACACGCTCTGCGCGAAGGAGCTGTCACATATCCATCCGTCAGTATGCTATCCCAACAGTTACAGGAATAAGGGAACAACAACAAGAAGAAGAAGAAGAAACTCACATATTCCCACCCAACAACTTAATCTGCAACGTAACCACCGCCTCGCCAATCCACACAATCGCAAAAACCCCACTAAACACCACATCCTTCTGCCCCTCGGCCGAGCAATAACTCAGCAGCGCCGACAAAACCAGACAGAAAATCAACGGGCCCCAGAGATCCCAATCGCGCAGCCCAGGGCTCATACCACTCTGACTAAGCAGACTTTCCGGATCCATGACCCTCCCCGCCAGACTCGTCAGCTCCTCCCTCGCGCCGGCCAGGCCCGCCCCGCGCAGATTCGCATACGCCCCGCGCAGCCCGTCCGCGCTCTCGAACATGGTGCCCCCGAACAGGTACCGCGGGTACAGGACCTCGCGCATCTTGGACCACACGGCGAGCAGGTCGCGCCGCAGCGTGTCCCAGACCGACTCGTCGATGGTGTTTTGCGGCGCGCGGCGGTCTTCGCCGGGGATGCGCGACGTGAGGAAGGTTTCGTTTAGAGGGCGGGACGACGACGACGAGGGGGCGATGTTGCCGGTGAGAGGCTGGCGCTGCGATTGTGCGTTGGAGAGGGGGTCGTCGAAGTCGTTGAGGTCCGCTGGGTTGTTGTGTTAGTTATGACGGTATTACCGTGGGGAACTACGGGATTTGGCCCGAGTACGATCTTGTTGGTTTGGGTGGTATGGTATGGTATGGTATGGTATGGCTTAACTTACCGTCATCGGGATCGATCAAGTCGTCGTCTTCGATCTGGGGACTGTCATAGTGGTGGTGGCTGGACGTTGCCATTTTAGGCGGTAGGTGCTGAATATCTAGCACAGCAGGCTATTCCCTGAATATTACAATGTCTTCTTCGATAAGTTCTCTATTGTTTTTCTATCGAAACCGAGAGGCAGAACCCTTAGCTCGTTGCGTCAAAAGTCGTTGATTGCAATGTAGTTGGTTGATTGATTCTGTCTTAGAGATTCAGGTACCACCGTGTCAAATCTAAATCTAAGCTAGGTAATCCGTACCTATAAGTGGTCCAAGCTCCTACGTGGCTGCATGGGTCTCTAATTCATGAATGTACACAGTACTTCGTTCCTACCACACAAACATTAAACGCATCTACTTTATATGCATGTACATACCTTTTAAGGTACCTACGTAATGCAGACAGCAGATACTTTATCAACCATAAATTTCTATGGTTCAACTTTGTCTCACTCAATGTGCCACTCCTTGCATTCTGCGAAAAGAGGATTCAAGCGAGACAAGTATAACTCTCAACGGATAATCGAGCCGTTTGACCGATTCGATCCCTCAACAGCACTCCACCTGTATAACGATACTGTTGTGTCATTACAGCTGCATGAGGAAAGTCACATATAGAAATCCAACCCGAGAAGCTAATTTCAACAAATATTGCATTATTATTTGCCAATTATATGCGACAACATCCATCCAGCGCGGGTATCTCGAAATTGTTTCTGCGCCTGTTGTTCGTTTTTCGTTGTTCCTTCTTCCTTCTTCAGAGCCTGGATCTCTGTACTATAGATCTTCTCCCGTCTTTCAACATCCACCGTAACAATCGTGAAAGTACCCTTTGTAATATCTCCCTCGAAATTACCCCGTATGCAGATACCGTCTCTCATGTGAACCAGGTGTCGCATAATATGATAAGCCCACTTAATATGCGCCACCCTAGCTCATGCCTCTTGATGATTATTCCAGAACGCCTTAGCCGGGCCGAAGAAGCAGACCTCCGCTAGTGGTAACCGCTTCGTTAATACACAAAAGTTCAAAATAAATACTCTGGGTCCTTGAACCCTATGACCACATGTTTCTGTAATCTCGTGGGTCATCTCTAAATCCGTGTGTCTGCGTTGTGTGTATTGCCTGATTATTCGCATGCTGTCTAGAATACGAGGCCGACGCTTCTGCCCACGGTTCTGCCGAGTGCTGATTGAATCCAGATGATGGAGGTTGAGGTGGCTGTTGTGTTTGAGGATATGGGTGCCAGGATTCAATCCCAGGCGTGTACGGCCTTGAGCGCGGCCACGCCGGTAGACTTGAGTAACCAGGACTCCTATCGTTATACTCTGTTGAAGTAGGACCGTAACCTCCCTGTGATACCTCGGCATTAAAGCCAGACACGTAACCTCCATCCGAGGGCATATTTGATTCGATCAGACGACCTTCAGGCGGAGAACGACCTCCCCAATGTTGGGATGGTTGCGATTCAAAACCAATACGCGACGGCATTGGTGCTTTGGAATCCGACGTTGGTAATTCGTCGTGGGGTTGCGAGCTCTCCCTTGGTACTCCGCGGCCGTACGCTGCATAATTCCCGTTGATGCCTACAAGCGCCCATGCAAATACGGCCACGTCTCGGATCGACCTCATAAGCTGTTCAACTGGCGGCCCTCCCGCTGCCTTTACATGTTCCCGTAGAGGCATGTATTGTGGCAAAAGGGGTGGCCGGAACGTGTAGAAATGCTCTGGAGGGTAATAAGGCCGAATGGGTTGCTCGCTCCAAGGCGCAGCAAAGAGGCCATTCTCAAAATCGATAGGAAGTAAAGGCGGATGGAGAGAAGGGATTGGTGGTCGAGCTTTTCTCAGCACAACCACGAGACCGTCCGAGGTGCATGACACAACGGCTTCGAGCTCAAACGTAGGAATCGGGTTTCGGTTCCTCCTCCGCCGCCCATTTGCCCGCATAGCTGAATTTGGAATCTGGTGGCAGGCTACTTCTGACGTTTGATATGACCGAGTAAAGGCTCGAGGTTCTCCATTAGTGAGAACGGCAGCTTTGGAGAGCTCTGGGCTAACGCCAGCCTCAGTCTTTATCTTAATGCCGTAACTTTCGTCGAGGTCAACGTCCATAGCGTTTTCAGCATGAACGTGGCCGTCTAACTTCTCATCGTCACCCTTAGATAGTTCATCATCTTGCTCATCCTCTATCTCATCGTCGTCTTCGTCTTCTTCATCGTCTTCATCGTCCTCATCTTCAAAATCCTCCTCTCTTCGGGGATCACGATACCAAAAGCGAAGGTAAGCAATAGAGTCGTTGGCCTTGGCGCTTTCTAAGCACTTAATAGCGTCTGCCAGGCAGTTCTCTGCAATGCATTCGTAGAAGCTTTTATCCTTAATTTGGTCCGGTCTCACGCCAAGAATCGAAGAAACTGCGTTAGTTGCGAACATCACCGACAAAGTCCTAGTGAACCTGTTGAGTATGAGAGCAGCACGTGGCTCTCTCTCCATAGGCTGCATCTTGAATTTAGGTGATAGGTGCTCAAGCATATGATACCGGGGGTCTCTCGGCGAAGATGAAAATATTCGCCGGATATGGGGTGCTTCTATCGCTCGTCCTGGATGACCGTTAGTAGCTAGCACGACCTAATCTACGACGTGATAAGGCATCTGGAACATACTCTTACTTCTTTCACCACGTCTATAGATACTTGTGCAAGCCACCAAAACATCGTGAACTATCGTAAAACAGCACTCGCAGCTTACCCATTGGCCATTACTCGACATAATCCGGGCGTAGTGTAAAACTGCAGCTTTGTCGAGAAGGACGCCCCTACTGTGTACGGAGCGTGCGAATGGGACCTCGTCCGGGTGGAAGTAATCGAAGCATGATTTGCCTTGTACAGCTTGCGGCTGGTACCCTAGAATATCGACGACGGACTCAGAAACAAAGAGGATGTTGGCGTCGGGCGACAGGTCTGTAGAGTATTAATTATTAGTCGCGGCTTAACTAGTTGAATATGAACGGCGTAAGGTGGAGCGTGTTGCCTTGGAAGATCGTGTCTCCGTCATGCCTGAGCATCAGGGGTACTAACTGTGGATAGTCATAAAAGTCTGCTCCATTTGATTCGATGTCCACTACTGGAGGATGCTACTGCTGTTCAACGAAAAGATCCAACTTCGACCCATAAGCCAAGACTTTTAAGAGTCAAATAGCACCAGCTAAATGCTTGTTTCGGAGGGCGCCAACAAAAACCCGGGGACGAGCAGGACGTCGTGTCCCAACAGAGCTCCAGAAGCAAATCTAATGGGATGGCAAGTTCCGAAATTCGTGCTTCGCGACTGAATTAGCAGTCGGCTGTTTAGGACGGTTGCGGAAAGGCTCAAGTGGACGAGCCAACGAGGTGTCTCTGGATAGCCGAGTATTGTATGACCAAGATCCCGCTGTCACCGTCGGATAGGTGGATAAGTCATACAAGCTGGCCCTAGAACAGGTTTGGTGTAATGTTCAGGAAGAGAATGGCGAGATTGAGGCGGTCGTCTCGCGCGGAAAGACGGTAGTAAGAACCCGTCAAATGTCTTCTACGCACGTCGCAGTAACTTGCCAGCTAAGAGGGACGTTGATTGTGGTGTCACAACGGCCTTTAGTCTCTCGGCTCGGTGCAGAGGTGAACAAGGACCGGCATACGCAATGCAAGGAAGCAATGGTAGCCACTGAGTAAGTGTACCGATTATGGGGAACGGGGCGGACGGCGGTAACCAGACGGGACATCCAGAACGACCAGCTTTGTCATATAGCGTAGGGCTGGAGCTAATTAAGAGGCCTATATTATTACTCGAGTACCTAAAGGTAACTAAAGGTAACAAGAAGTCTAAAAGTTGTTTGACGTGTTTGACGGAGTTCGGGTGACGGGTAGCGGGGATAATAAGTCCAGGTCTAATATAATGATCGGTCCCGTTCTTCTCGGGTTTTGGTTTTGGTTTTGGTTTTGGTTTGCGAAGTAGAGGGTGAAAATGAACAAACGAAGGATCGGTTCGTTAGTTGGTCCAAGGGATACTGAGGGATATACCGTATATTTGAACAGCCGTTAATAGGTGTAGCTGCGAGAGAAGAGCATAGATAGGCAAGGTTAGAAGTCCGGCATCAAAACACATCGGGTTGAATTCGAAGAAGGTTGCTGTGTTGTCTTTAAGGCTCTTACGCCAGGTTTGCAGGACGCAATCCCATTTGCCAATGCTACCGGCAAAGCAGGAAAGCCAGTCTAAGGCAAGGTCCAAGGTAGCTACGACTTGACAAAATATAGTTTCGCTAATGTATAATTTAGTAGGTACTTATGTATATGTAAGTTAAGTGCTCGGCAATGCAGGTAGCGTAACGGCATTCTCTAGCTGCGTTCAAGTCCAAGCTTAAAAAAGTGATGCTTCCACCATGGATGATACCGTACTATAGTATGTACTTGCCATAGTTAATACTTAATTACATAGGTACTTGAATTATGTACTTGCATACATCATGTACCTTCCTTTTACCAGGCTTTTTACCAGGCATTTACTACATTTACTGCATTTATGTACTACATGTAGCATTTACATATGTATTACCGCCATCCATCCAATTCCCATAGGTAACCCCATGTGTTCCATAGTTATGTTGCAGATGTCCAACTTTCCGCTTGTTTCGCACCCGTGCGTTCCGTCCAAACTTCAACTCGGCGCCCAGTTTATTCGCAGGGGTCCCTCATGAGCGAACCCCTGGAGGGGAACAACTTACCGTTGTCTTCTCAAAGTCTAGGCTCTGACAAGAGAGTCCACGACTTTTCCATCATGTACCGTATGTAGCTTATATTCGGGCCATATTACCGTGCAGCATGTGCTGCGGGGGCAAGTGTAGAATACTAACCATCGCGAGCAAGCCAGACAGTGTTCTATTATTCTTGGTGTCTAATGTATATTTTAACCTTACTTTCCCATTAGCAGCCCAAATGCACGCACGTAAAACCGAACTTTTTCTGTTAGGATTTGTTTGCGTAGTGATCGACAGTTGCCCACGAAAAGCAAAGGCACTAAGCATTTCAGTAATTGTTGCGGATCATGTACATACGAATATCCCTGTTTGACCCCATATGATACATATAGTATACATACCGAGAGTCATCTTTAACTGTACAATTACCATGCATCAATGCTGATAGGATCTTTATATGTAGGTACATTATGCATGTACATAGCATTAAAAATCCAGGCTGGGCTTAGTCGGCATTCATTCCGCGCAACGGAACTTGCAGCTAGGTAAATCTCACTCACACATCATGAATTTAGTTCATGATAACATCTGAGTAATTTTATTCCTATCACAGGTGCAAATATAATGTGCATATGTATAAGTTTTCCTATTTTGCTTTAGTTATTCGTTCGAGCTTTCGGTTTCGCGCGAGACTCAGAATGATATCAGAATAAGTAGGGATCTTCGGTACAATTGGGGAATTGCTTGCGAGATAGAGGCTCACTGCAAGGATCTAGCGGAATTGATAACCATTTCTAGTTCCTAGATACGTACACTTAGCAAGGGCTGAACCAACGTCTGAACCAACGTTGAGGGTGTGGTTTTGTTTGGTTATCATGGAAGTTTATGAAGGGACTTTTAGTACGGCGTAATCCGTAAGCTAAGCTTAGATAGAAGACAACCCAAGTTTAGTGCGTTCGAAGCCTGCAAAATCTAAACGATCCCGAATGGGTGGACCAGGTCCTTGGGATCTGCTGCTAGGATTTGTTTTAACCTGGGATATTCGAGGCTTTCCCGCTCGGCAACTTATCGGCGTTGCACGTGGTAATGTTGCTGAGAGTTGTCGAAAACTCTTGAACTCTTACTGTGGTACAGTATACATACATGTAGGTAGGTAGTTACTCTATTTCATAACTACCAGCTTGTTCTTGGACTCCCTCGCGAGACCAGCTCTTAGGTGGTGGTTTATACGTACTGATGGAGAAGGTGATCTTATCATAATCCTATTTACATAACAGCGACTTAAGTTTTTGTGTTTTGTGGCTCGCGAATAGACAGGATTGCTTGCTACGGAAGTGCGGAGAAAGTATCTAATTGACGAATTCATAGATTTTAAATATCAAAAGATACGGGCCAGGGGTAATAATCAAGAACACGCCCAGGTTGAAGCCTCTTAGAAGATCGAATCCAGTAGACAGGGGTAATATACATATTAAGAGTTCCGATTATGAGTTGCCCTGAACAGTCTTGCTCATCGGCGAGCACTGATTGGACCATACAGTCTAGTTATTTTTCTTAGTGGGCAATGTGGCCATAGTTCATCCCTTGATGGCGTTATACATAGTACATGCTATAGAATTATCATGTACCTGCATCAGTCCTGATGGCTTGCTTAATCATATCCGCACGTAGAATCAGTCTAAAACATATCTGCTTTCCACACTGGCCGGGATATAAATTTAGTATGGGGATATTCTACAAGGGCGTTGCCAAGACGGAAAAATCCAGCAACGGTATTATCATCAGCATCAGCCGTGCCTATTAACACGAACAGCAAGTCGTAAATACTACCTACATGAAGGCAAAATCCAAGAGGAAGCTATACCGTGGTACTATTACATCTCTTCATGCTTTTACCTGGGTAGCGTGCATACTATTTGCATGGCCGACGTCGTCATCTCTCCCAACGAAACACCTGAACGAAATAGAATAGCTTGCATTCGAGTGAAAAGATTTTTATGCACTACATACTTCGTACATCATCTGAAGATATAGGTTGCGCAATTACAACATTTACAACATGTTGCATGTGAATACAGTCCATTGCATTATCAGTCGGCATGACTGGATGCTGAACGCTGAACACTGAGTCGCGCATGCAACTCTTCGCTTTTCGTTCATGGGTGTGTGTGTCAATGAGTATATTCGCCTTGCTAGGGTCCCCTTCAATACTACAGGCCACTAAGTTGGGCGGAGTCTAGGATTCCTTATCCAGTTTCTTGGGCTTCATTGCAACATTGAAAGCTAGCGGCTGAAGAGCTTAGGGCGAACTACAATTGGACTAAAATTGGGTACTCCAGGTTGGAGACGAATAAACCTTGAAGGTACCCCAGCATACAGGCAGTCAAACGGCCGTATCGATGGAGCTTGTTCGAAACGACATCCAGAAAGAATTTCAAAAGTTCCAGTAATCATGGAGGTCTGTGCAAGGTTTGCATGTACCATATGCAGTACCTACCCAACCAAATATATATACGAGGAGAGGGCAGGTACCTTTTCATTAAACTATATTCCCCATGAAAGAGGCATCTCTGCTGAGAAAGAAGGAAGCATAGGGCAGTCGAGAGTCTGGGCAAGCCGGACCCCGTATTACATGTACCGGGGAGCTACTGTATATCCTTCAAGTTCACTGTTTCCCCGGTACGTGACCAGATTGGTCCAATGTGAGATGTACTTACCTTATGTAAGATTTATAAGTACAAGATAAGTACCTTTAAAGACTTCCTTAATTTGAAGCTACCTCTTTGTACGGATTACAAGGGTAGGCCAAAATAACATGGTAAGCTCCAGCCACAACCTTGTCTAGCGTTGACTTAGTTTGCGGCTTGGTTACGGCGCAAAGACCCTCAATGCAGCCTCTTCGTCGTGGAATAATTGATTACTGAACAAAATACATACCCTGGATGAGGATACCATATACCTTAATCCACAATAGCTTCTCGAGCTATTCGGGTTTTGATTATTGGTAATCCGATCCCTCCAAAGATGTCAAGGTAGTCAAGCATCGAGGTTTCACGGTCCACGATCAAACGATCAACAATCGCGAATGCAGCCAGCGTCATAACCTAACTAACACGTTCAGCTCTCACAAAATTCGCGTATCCACACACACTCAGCCAATATCTAGCCGCATCTTGGGAACGACCCCTGAATGGTTCAGTCCCAGCTTCACTTTCAATCATTCGGTCTTGACTTCTTACTACTCTCATAACAAACCGCCCCGCCCCTGAGACCGAGCCTATCAACTTGAAAGATAATTATGCAAGACACTCTTTCGAGATGCCATCCGCGACCAGCAGTGACGAGTGGGACCTCCCACGCGTGAAGGCCTCCATTGGTTTCGAGGTAAGGCTTCTCCAGGCCGATATGTCTCGGACTCGGCCTGGGTGGATATAGACTAATTCTTATCTCATAGGATGATTCCCAGAGCTTGGCATCAGATGACCAAGACACAGGTAAGGCATCTCTTCGACGCTCTGGAGGATGCTCTAACTCCTACCAGAATTCTTTGACGTGAAATTCTACCCATACGGGGACGTCACACACGATCCAGTTTTTGCCGCAGTTAGCAAGAAACATGTCGTAATATATCGACTCTCCAGCAAGATTACTCCTCCTTACGAGCTTGTTCAGCTCTTCAGGGACGACGATGTGAGTTCCGCTGCAACTTATGTTGCCGTCATTGTAGCTTATAGAAATGTAGAAAGATGCATTAAACTGTAGCTGCACTTGGACTAAGGACCCCGAAACCGAAGTACCGTATCTATGTGTAGCTGGTAGGGACGCCAAAATTAAGGTCTACGACGTTGTTCAGGGTAAGCTAGTAAAGGTCAGATATGCGTTTATACACGATCGTAGCTATTCCCCGGCTAATATCTTATAGGTCCTCGTAGGCCATGGAGGAGTGAGTTTTAAAGCAAGTTTGCTAGGATACCAGACTGACAAGACGTGGAGGAAATCAATGACCTCGCCACATGCCCAACAAATTTTCTCCTGATTGCATCCGCGTCGGAGGACACCACCGTTCGAATATGGAGTCTCGATCCTGCGCACTCTAAACAACCATGCGTTTGCCTGCTTGCTGGTGAAGGTCACTCATCAGGACTGTTGACAGTGGTATGTCTCCAAACGCCGTAGTAGTTCACTTGAATGTTAACCCCTCTCAGGCATTTCACAATAGTGGCCGTTATGTTCTCTCCGCTGGGCATGACAATGTCATCTGTCTGGTAAGAAACTTCACATCAGATCTTGGTAACGCATGTGTACCTCTTATTAACATATCATAGTGGACACTCCCTGACTTGCCTCCTGAGCCCAGTGGCAAAACCCCTTCGAAGCCAATTGTAATACATTACCCTCATTTCTTCACTTCGGAAGTGCATAGTGGTATTGTAGACTGGTAAGTCACCTTATAAAACTATCAGGAAAATTCTAATGAGATTAAGTGTGGCTTTCTTTGGTGATCTTATTCTTTCACGGGCCTGCCACGAAGATATAATTGTACTATGGCGAATTGAGGGATTCTCATCTCGCGATCCCCCCCCTGAAATTTCCGAGGCGCCAACTACGAGCGACACAGAACGCCTAACCCGTTCTGCCTTTTCCCCTGCGACAGCATCGGCATGTCCACCTCAGTATACTCGCCTATTAGAGTTTTGGACGCCGCATTGTGGTCACCAATTCTACCTTCGCTTCAAGCTCTTTCACGACAAAGACAAACATCCGGTCCTAGCATTTGGCAATGCGAAGGCCATGATTTTCTTCTGGGATCTGGCACGCCTGGGAAGTTATCACGACTTCATCAGTGAAGTTCGAGATCCCACTCGTGATAAGACTCAGCCAATCCAACGTCCGGGGTGGTTAGCGCCCATTCAGCATAGACACAAGGGCGATGCCGTTAGTAAGCTTAGAGATGCTGCTAGCGACAGAGAGTCGGTCGCGTCAGGACGCACTGGTAGCGTAGACGTCGAAACGCACCTTGATGTCAATACAAATTATTCGCAAGAGACGTTGGAGCAGTGGGAATTAAAGTACGACATGACACGTGTCGAGGAACCCATCAGAGCACACTCGCAGAGCAATGTTACTGTTAAGGACTTCGTTGGACGCCAGGTTGCTTGGAGCACCGGCGGCGAGTGGTGTGTTGTTGTTGGCAGCAAGAATCTGGCCATCATCCTAGAGCGATGGCATAAGAAAGATAGAGCGGAAGATAAAGAAAAGAAGCCAAGCCAAGAACGACCGAATTAAAGGTTGGATATTACTCTAATTAATTGAAATACCTCCTATATACTAGAAATATATTGAGTTTAATAACCATTCAACTTTGATTCTACGACGTTATGCGTGGTCGAGTTTGTATAGCATTCAAGGAGCGTATAAATTACAACTTGCTAGTCTCGACTAACCTGAAGGAGTGACAGTATTGATAACTCATTAGTATGCTTCCCCTTAAGCTTTTCCTTTATCTTTTTCGACCGTGTATCGTGCCAGTCTAGGCCATGTAAATAACCCCAATAATCAATCTAGAGTATAACCATATTTTCCTGATGGCCCCCAGAGCCTTCGGCCTCGTGCCGCACCCCGATATTAAACGCAGTACGGCAGATCGTTGATGTACTCGCATGCGGTGCCCTCCGGGCAGTTTCCACCATCCTACACGGGATTGTCAGCCAAGAAGAAAAAGAAGAGAAAGGAGAAGGATTTGTAGTATTGCTTACGAGGAAATGGCTGTCGAGATTGCAAACGAGCCAGCCCGAAAAGTCGGGCTTGCAAACGTAGGCTGGAAGCGTGCATAGCTCGGTGTCTGCGGGATCGACCCCGTAAGCAAGGGCTGCCGTGACGAAGGTTAGGGCTGCGAGGAACTTCATTTTGGAATTGAGAAGTGAGATTTGTAGGTGAGTGTTAGATGTCTAGATTTTGAGTGTAGGATGGTATTGTTGACAGGAGAGCAATAATTTCTTCTTGCTTGACCCCTTCTTATACGATATCAGAGCTCTACGAGCGAGCGGACTCTTTCGGTATACATCGTAAAGCAGTCACCTCAACCCAGTTCAGTGCTCGTTGTTTTCGGAGTTCGCCATGGTGGATAACGTCGTCATCTGGCGTAGCGAGCGAAATAGAAGGCAGCTAATACTTCGAGATATGTTTTGACGATTAAACCACCAAGGTGACCAATTCTGCGTAACTCTATCCTAGACGATCCCATGTGAAGTTGTTCTACTCAGAGCCTCGGGTTTGGATCATATGATTAGAATAGACACGGGTGAGGACCATTAGGTCACGATCAGCATCACGATACAAGGTGAGTAGATAGTAGCCAGACTAAGCAGTGAAACACCTCCACGCAAGCCAGTAATTAACGATAGAGTAAACAGTGAAGTTTTGTTCTATGTATTGCATCAGTTACCGACGCGCTTCAAGCATACCCAGTCCGGACAGTTGAGCCCAATAACACGCGTAGAACCCCCATTCAATGTGGTCGATATCATGAGGCTCGCTCTAGCCTTCAGCCCTATTGCCACGAGTAGCTGACACCGGGGTATAACTTTCTTAGCCCGTCATAGGCCAACCGGAACGCCGGGAATAGGTCTAAGCGTTTTTAAGTTGAGGACCGTTTGCGGCGCTTTGACTAGATCGTAAACGTCACCGGCGTTAGCTATGGAGCCACGGACCGTTCATGGTGGAAGTTTATACCTAGCTCCGGACTTGACGTCGTTGACGTGCGGTCAGACTCCTGTCACATTACTAGCGGAACCTACGTTCGCTTTGGCATCATACATGACTTGACTAATGGCGCATTTGACGGAAACTGGTTGTCACTAAACCACTCTTTGCTTCTCATCTTGATCGGATAGTAAATATATTCTCAATTCTCCGTATCACGTTGCAGTTGATAGTTGAACGGCGCGTTAAGTTATGAAGAAAGTCTCATAGCATGTTCTCACCATCGTCCAAACTTCGGGATCTAAAATGTTAAGGAAATGAGAGTTGACGATCGAGCAAAGTTCAACCTCAGTGCCGACCAAACATCTCCGGTCTCACGTATTTGACCGCCGGATCCCCAAATTTCATCGCACTCTACCCATACATCAACGCAACCGATGAGTCTATGTGTATCTTCTCGACTAGAATCCTTTACATCGAATTGGTAAGCGTTAGTATTCAGACTATTGCGCCTCTAAAGAGCTACGGCGATATCGCTGCTACTAGGTTCTTAATCGCAGACAGAGGTTCCGTAGCCTGAATACATATACCAAGCTCAAACTTAGTATTCGTGACTTGGAAGCGCATGTGAGTGTGAGGTTTGCTTGGAACTCATTCGTACACTCCTGCTTGAGGGAAATATCACGGGCGTAACTTGTTTAAATTACTTTTGAAGACAGTCATAGAGACTTAGGTGGAAGCATCAGCATTCATTGTGAGAGGGGCTTGACTGATGAGTCCTGGCCGTGCCTGATCAATTGGCTACCGTTAACGCAGCACCTATTCATAAATGGCACGGTATACATTGCAACCTTTCCGCAATATACCTTATATATCTTTACCCTACCAATTTTATAAACAAAATTAATACCGCAATTACTTATTAATTAAATAACCGCAAATATTTTTAAAACAATTAATTAAATTTTTAATATATATTTTTATAATATACGTTATATGTTTATTTTTAACATATTAATAAAATTATTTTTATATAATATATTTAAATAAAAAAATAAAAATTATTAAAAATATACATTTAATAATTATAATATTATTTAATTTTTATTAAAAACCAAAACGTTTAACATTATAAAAGTTATATATATTTTTAATTAAATTTATTTTATTATAATTATTTATATTATTATTTTTAATATTTTAAAATTTAAAAAATGGTTTAATTAAAAATTCCTTTTTATTATTACTTAAATCAATTAAAATATAAAATATAAATTATTTTGTAAATTTAAAATTATAATTATTATTAAAATTTAAATTATAATTAATATATTTATTATTATTAAAACTTAAAAATTAAAAACGTTTTTTTAAATAATATATATCATTAATATTATATTAATTATATATATTATTAAAAACTATATTATAAAAAGTAAAATTAAATAAATTTATAAATTTAATATTATTAATATTATTAATATTATTACTTATATTAAGCAAAAAATATTTAATATTATATTATTTTTTCCGGGTTTTAAATTTTAATAAAAATAAATTTTTTTTAAATTCCCAGTATATTTAAATATATTTTTAATTATTATTTAATTTTTTAAATATTATAACAAAAAACGTTATTTTTTTTATATTTTTAAATTAAAAAAATAATATAATAATATTATTAAAAAAAAACCACATAAAATAAATAAAAAAATATTTAATAAAATTTTTAACAAAAATATAAACTTTAAAATTATAATAAAATATAATTATTTTAAAATTAACTTTATTTAATTTTCCAAATAATTAAAACATATATAACATTAAAATATAAAAACAAGTAATAATAAATCCAGCTTTTAAATTTAATTTTAAAATTAAAATAAATTAACTTTTATTTAAAAAACAATAAAAATTTATACGAAAAAATATAATATTAAATAAATCGTTTAAAAAATCATTATATATAATATTCGATAATAAATATTTACGTATATAATTTACTTTAAACCATAATTTAAAAATTTTAAAAATAATATAAATAAAATTAAATCCGTTTAAATAATTAATAATTTAATAAACTTTAATATAATACATTATAACAAAAAAAAGGGTTTTTTTAAACGGTACGTTAAAAAGTTTAACGTTTTTATTTTTAATAATTTTTTTAACAGTTATTTTACTTTTTTAAATATATTTATTTTAATTTACAAAAAAAGTTAATAACTTAAAAAAATTTTAAAATACCAATAAACTTTTAAAGAAAATTTAATAATTAAAAGATAAAAAAATAAAATAATAATTTATAAATATAATTTAATTAATATTAATTAATATAATAATTAAAAATATAAAAATAATATTATTTATTTTACAAAATATTATTATTTAATATTATAATAAATTAAAATTTTTGGATTAAAAATAAAAAAAGTTTTTTATTATTTTTTTTTTTTATTTAACTTTTATATATTTTTAATTATAACATAATAAATATAATATATTATTATATAATAAATATTACCGTTATTAAATATATTTAAATTAAGTAATAAATTTAAATTAAAATATTTTAAATAATAAATATTAATAAATTTTAAAAAATTTTTACGTTTATTACCAATTAATATTTAAAAAAGGTTAAAAAAATGAAATAAATAAAATGATATTATTTTATTAATTAAAAACGATATATAAAAATTATAATAAATAAAAAAAAAATAAACTATTATATTATAATATAATAAATAATTATTAAAATATATAAAATATAAGAAAATTTAGTTTAAAATTATAATTTAATTAATTAAAAAATTATATATTATTTTAATTAAATAAATTTATTTTTAAAAATATATTATAATAATTATATATATATAATAATTATTTTAATAATTATATTATTTAATATATAATATAATAATTATTAAATTAAAATTTTTATTAAATAAATAATAATATTACTTTTTTTAATTCTTTTTTAAAATTAATAATGTCGCTGTTAATATTTTAAAAAAAAATATATATTTAAATGCAATTATTGTTATTAAAATTGGAAATATTATAAATGGTTATAATAAAAGTAATTTTAAAAACTTTTTTTACATTTTATATATTAAATATTAAAAAATAATATGTTAATAAGTTTATTTTTTAAACTTTTTAAAATTATTAATTTAAAGGTAATAAAATTGGGATAATAATTAAAATAAAATTTACTTTAAAGATTTTTTAAATTTAATTAATTTAAGTAATAACGAAAAAGTGTTTTATTTTAAAGTAATAATAAAAAAATGTTTTTAAAATAATAATAAAAAAACGTTTTTAAAATAGTAATAAAAAATGTCTTTTATAAATAAAAAATAAATGGGAAAATAAATAATTATTGCACGGGGTGGATAATTGTGGTTATGATATAATTATTATAATAGTTATAAAAAGTTATAGCGTTAACTACAATTATTATATAATTAATTAATTATATAAAAATTGCGTTATATGTAATTATATTTTAAATAATTTAAACCTTTATATATTATTTATAATTACTATATATTATTTATAATAATATTATAACTTTTAATAATTATAAGTTTAATTTATGTTTAAGTTTTTAATAAAAATATATTAGTAATAAATGTAAATTATTTATTTTATTTATTTTTTTTTTTATTTTATATAATTATTTTTAAAATTATAACTTTTAAAATAATAATGAACATATATGGTAAAAATTTATTTAAAATTATTTCTTTAGTTTTAATAGTTTATTTAAATAATTATTATAATTATTTTTATTAAATTTTAAAAATAAAGTAAAATATTATTTAGTTTAACTTTTAAGATTAAATAAATTTAAATAAATATAATATTATTAAACATATTATTATAATTAAAATTAAAATTTTTATTTTAAAATTTATTAAAAATAAAAAGGTTTTTATTTGTAAAATAATTATAGTTGTTAAATAAAATAATGGCGTTTTTATATAAAACATCTTAAATAATAATATTATTATATTAATTAATAATAAATTTAATAAATTATTTAATAAAATTTAAAAGTATTATATAATTATTTAATTAAAAAAGATAATTAATATTTTAATTATAAATTAAATATTTAAATATATTTAAAAAATGGTTAAAAAAGAAATTTTATTACCTATTACATTTAAATATATCAATAATGATTTAATATTGG